TTGATGAGTTGTGGAAGGAAGAGCGTTATCGCGTTGATAATGGAGAGGTAGTTAGTGTTGAGTTCGTCGGCTACCTCTGAGCAATTCAAGGAGGTTAGATCAATAGCTTGGACGGAGAATGTTGCTGACTGTCAAGATCCACAGATTCAGGTTCAGTAAAGTTGAATTCATGCTGTATTCCACTCATGAACATGACAGCATCGAGCTAGTTCGTAGAAATATCAGTGACTCGTAGTACCATTCACCGACATTAATTATTTGTAGCAAAATACCTGCGGATATTGTTGAACAATCTCGGCGATTGACGCTTTCAGCGACGCACGATCTGCCAACAAGTCGAGCTTGAAGCCTTTCAGCCTTCCGTCTGTTCCGTGTACCGCTATCAGTTCATCTATTCTCTCTTGCCGTCGGCCACAAACGATCACGGTGGGCTTGGACGGTAGGGCCAAGATGCTCAGGGCGAGAGCACGTCCTAAACCCGCGGTGGATCCGATAATTAGGATACACTTAGTATCTTTAATGCTAGGCATGATCAGAGATTGGATCGCAGCTTCGGGAAGATATGCGTGCTGCGTTTAGAGAAGACCACGAGCTTTATATATCATCCCCGAGCCAACATACTGGTATTCCGGCCGGCTGAAGAGATGAGCAAGCTGAGGGCTAAATTTGGTTCTGATACTGAGTATTTTGCTGACTTCAGCAGCCAAACAATCATACGTATTACGCACATTGCTTGAATCACAGAGCAAGCCTCTTAGTGGTCCATGGAAGAATCTTCAGGTTGGTCGGTGAATGCAATCAAAACCTTCCTGCATGCCTAGACAGGGAACAGAGGACGTTTGAGGTGCATGGAGTTTGGAAGTGATATCCACGAAAACGTTCTGAACCGAAGACATACCATTTTGACACCAGCTTGAAGCGGGGTGACTGCCAGTCCGAGTCGTGAGGACATCAATATTCTTCAGTGTTCAACGTTCAATATTCAATCGAGCAACAGCGAGGATGTCATTAAAACCTGTACGTATGACCATTACATCGGAAAGTAGATAACAGGTAAAAATGCCTGTGCTACAAACTGATACGAGAAATTTTATGTTGCACCTAGAAGCCACTTCAGGAGCTGCAATGGGATGATGCTGCGCCTGTACACAAAAGATGCGAAGAAAAACCAAGAATTGATTGAGGTAATGTGATGATTCAAATTCGAGACTGCGTAGTTGTACCATATGAACCTGGTCCAAGCACAAAAAAACACAGAAAATATGCCATGAATTGATCGTTGGTGTTGAAACGTTGAAAGTCGAGAACGAGTGGGGATTAATCCGTGTGATTTCGCTTGGGTTTCTGGCGGATTTGAAGCGGCGATACAAATTTCAGGGCGCTTTGATTATTATCGGATCAGCTGCAACTCTGATCAAGGATAATAAGTATGAGGCAAGGTGTACGATAGCACACCATTGACAGCAACAGCATCAGCTATGGGAATGGGAAATCCAGGGTAAACAGGTGGATCGGCGCACAATATTATCGAAAGTCACGCGGCAAGCGCTTCCCATTTCTTTCTATCGATTTTCACAGTAGAATGCAACGTTCGAGCCCAGAAGTGAGCTGGTGCAGTTGAGAAAATGGTATTCGGAAAGATATCGCGCAAACGATCGGGCATAGAGAGGAATGCGTGTGCATGTATGGCTTGGAATCTCGGAATGCGCACACGACTCAGGCTATGATGGGGATATTATATTGCCGATCAGATAACACGATGAACTCGTGAGGCGATTTGGCCAGATGCTAACGCGTATAAGAGAACCACTCATTCCCGCCTTATGACCTGGATATAAGTATTCCACAACGACAATGCTTGAATATTTCTTATAGTGCGATCGTTGTTTATGAATCTCTATAGAACAAGGCGAACCGTTGTGGTCCAAAATCAGAATAGGCTGTGGCTGTGGATGCACGGCGTGAACAATAGTCGGGCGCACGTGACTGAACGCGCCCGCGTTTGTTTGGTCGTGTTTTGTGTAGATGGTTGAAAATGGCTTATTCCGGATTTGTTAAGAACGTTCACCTCCACCTCTTGAGCATCTTAAGCTTGTTGTCTACTCTCTGCTCATATTTTCTTTCCTTTCATCTATAATTTCCTAGACTGTACTCTGACATTTCCTCCGAAATGTCGTCTGCCATACCTGCATGTTTTTTCCATTTTATCTACCCTCAGCGATCCATCTAACTATCCATCGTCATTAGACACGGCGTGTTACAAGGGTAACTCGTACTACGACACAGAAAGATAATGAAAACGCAAATGCTCGCCCGACTCGTATTACTACCCGCGCGAAACCCCCATCATCATCAACCGCCGCTGCCACGACGACATCAGCCGGTCTTGGCCGAGCCACCGCGCCTACCGCCGCATCCAAGGCAAAAATAGGCAGTCATGATGAGAATCTTGCAGCTCAAGGCAAGCGGAAGCGCGAGGCCCTCGGCGAAGTCACAAAACATAAGAATAAGACGACTAATGTTCCTGCCGCTAAGGATACTAAAGAGCTCAAGGGCAAGGGGAAGGAGGTTGTCGCTGCCAAGGAAAAGTTCGATGGCGTTGTTATTAAGTCAAAGGTGACCACGGCCGTATCTCGCCAGCCTTTGCGGACAGTCATTACCACAACCACCCGTCGCACCGGAAAGTCTACTACTACTTCTACTACGCAACCAAGCCAGTTGGATGACGTCAAGAAGGAAACTGTTGAAATCCGCTCGAAAGAGGAAGATGCCATGGCTATCGATAATCATATTGACGAACCCGAACCAACTCGCAGAGTTTCGACTCGTCGATCAGGCGTTAATTCACAGCAAGTCATTACCCAAGAAGTTCAGCGAGCGGATCTATCGAAACGCCAGTCTTCCCATTTGACTCTCAAACAAACTACCCAGGATGAGATCGAAGATAGCCGCGTGTTCAAGAAGCGACGAACGTCATCAGACCCTCCTGACGAAGAGCAGCTTTTCAACGAGCAATTAGAGCATGAGGCTGAGGTTGCCGCAGCCCTGGAGGCCGCCAGAGGAACTTCTCCCGAAGCTGATCCTGAAGGTGATGAATGGGAGGACCTTGACGCGGATGATGCCGACGATCCGCTGATGGTCAGTGAATACGTGGGCGAAATCTTTAAGTACATGAAAGATATCGAGGTGCGTTCAACTTCATACCGTTCCCCGATCCGCGATTGATGTTTTTTTTTATTCAAGCTAACGACGCTTCCCAATCCAAATTACATGGAGAGCCAAAAAGACCTCGCCTGGTCCATGCGCGGGATCCTCCTTGATTGGCTAGTTCAGGTTCACGCGCGTTTCCGTCTTCTGCCCGAAACCCTGTTCCTCTGCGTAAACATTATCGATCGTTTCCTTTCGGCGCGTGTAGTTTCCCTTGCCAAACTGCAGTTAGTTGGCATCACTTGCCTTTTCATCTCATCCAAGGTCGAGGAGATCGTCGCACCCTCGGTTTCACATTTCCTCCATTGTGCCGACTCTTCTTATAGCGAGCAAGAGATCCTCATGGCTGAGCGCTACGTCCTCAAGACTATTGACTGGAATCTCGGATATCCCAATCCTATGCATTTCTTACGACGTATCAGCAAGGCAGATGAGTATGACGTCAAGGCTCGCACCATTGGTAAATATCTCCTCGAGGTCGGAACTTTGGAATGGAGACTTCTTGCTACTCCGCCTTCGCTTGTCGCCGCTGCATCAATCTGGCTGGCACGACTCATTCTTGGTAACGATAAATGGGTAAGTTCTTCAGTATATCTCCCGTCAAGCGCTTCTAAAGACGTATATCGCGCAGACTGCCAATCTCGCTCATTACTCGTCGTACGCTGAAAGCTCGTTGATCCCCACCGCCAACCTGATGTTAAACTACATCTTAAAACCCATTCGACATGAGTCATTTTACAAGAAGTACGCTGGAAAGCGATTCTTGAAGGTTCGTGAATCACTCCGTTGCGTTCGCTTTATACTGATTTGTCCACTTGCAGGTGAGTATATGGGTAAGAGAATGGGCACTGGAACGATGGGAGGAGTCGACGCAGGTTTCACTACTGCACGACCTGCCAATGCTGAAGGAAAGGAATCGTATTGAGCGGGAACGAAACGAAGCTGCTGAGGAGAACGCTGAGGATCTGGGAGAAGAATCATAGGACACAAATACCACTCGTTGATCACTGGACGTCCACTTCTCATCTCATTCATTCCATCGCGACACATTAAAAACTGCATATCAAATGGACACCTTACCCACCCTATCGCATACTTCCACACACACAAACCACGCATCATTTGTTTATTTTGCAACAATCAACTTTCGACCTCTTCTGTGTCTTTTATGTCTTGATCTTATGATTATCAAATGGGTTTTTCAATTCCCACTGCAACCGCGCAATCTTATCGTCTATGTCATGGTCATCATGCTATATCCGGCCTCACGGAAAGGAATCTCGCCAATCTTGATTTGTCGCTTTCGTCGTTGGCCCTTGAGGTCTTCGTCTTTGCGTTGGCGCGTTACCCATGCCGTCGTGTCCTCCTGCTATACCTGCTCAGTGCCTTCTAGCTGCCGTCGTCCTCGTCTGGGCTCGCTATGTTGCTTTGCCTTTTGCACTACTCTCGAGTTGTCCATCGTTCCTTTCGGCTTAAACCCCACATCGGCGCTACCCTCCCATACTACCCACGTTATCATTTCTTCCCCTGCCAATTTCCCGTTCGATTTCTAGCGCATAGTAGCTGTTTATTCCTTGGCATCTTACACCCCCTTTTACTTTTCTTTGCCGCTCATGGCCTTTTTGAAACACATGTAAATCTGTAGGCAAATTCATCAAAGTCATCAATCTAATATCTGAGTGGAGGATATGTAAGAATACTTGTTAAACGCGCGAACGACATGCTTGATGGGCGTGCATATTTGGTGGTGAATCGGTGAACACCAAGAGCTGTGAAAATGAAAGGCAAAAATTCTCTCTGCCTGGGAGTCGAACCCAGCTCTGCCGCGATCAGTGGGATGGCACCATTCCTATGACAGGCGGCTGTACTATCCGATATACTAGCAAAGACTTGTTAGTGAGTCCTCCCTAAGTAAATATACGAGGCTTTTGGGCTTTCCATTCACCCATTTTCGACTCTGCACTTGACCTCGATCACTCACCGAATATAGTCGGATATATTTCCTGGGCCTCCAATGATACTTGGGGCTTCCAGGTCTACAACTAACAAATTATGGCCACGAAGACCACCGCGCAGATCGCGTCAGTTCTCCTTCTCTGTCCCATGGCAATCCGACAACTATAAGTTGGACTCGAAGGCCTTTGCGAAAACCCTTCTCTTACCCCAAACTTCATTTCCTCTTTGGACGGATCCCTCCAAGAGTGAGATACCATTCAGGAAGCGAACTTGTGAAGACCTATATCAATGGCAGGTCTGTATCTTCTGGTCAAGTACCATACGCGTGCTAAACGCGTCCTGCTAATAGGCAAAGAACGCGAAGGGCTCGTTGTTCGTGATGCATGATGGACCGCCGTATGCGAATGGTCACCTGCATATTGGTCAGTTTGTACACTCGCACTGGTTGGTTCGGAACCTAACGGTCTTTTGAAGGACATGCACTCAATAAGATAATTAAGGATATCATTAATAGATACCATGTTCTCATAGGTGACCGAGTACAGTGAGTTATGCGTTACTTTGGTACACGACGAGCCTCATCTTGATACTGTTCAATTCAGCTACTTTCCTGGGTGGGATTGCCACGGACTTCCCATCGAGAACAAAGCCCTCCAGGAACTTAAAGTCAGTCACGTCACTTGATGTGGTGTTATGTGGTGGATAACCCAGCAAGGATACAGAAAGACGTTGTCACCCTTCCCCCAAACGTCATACGATCTGCAGCAAAGTCTACGGCTGAACGTGAGATGCAGACGCAAAAAGAAGAGTTCCAGCAGTTTGGCATTATGGCGGATTGGAGCCCAAAGACAACCTATCGCACTCTAGGTCCACACATCGCCTTACGAGCTCGCCGGATTAAAGACTAACGAGTGCTACTAGATCATCAATACGAGATTCGCCAGCTGCAGATATTCCAGAAGATGGTCGAGAAAGGTACGCTACAAGCTATTCATTCGGTTTTGAGATCAACGAAAACAGTTCCTGTTCACTATAGGGCTTATATATCGGCATTATCGACCTGTTCACTACTCTCCTTCGTCTCGTTCTGCTCTGGCAGAGGCAGAGCTGGTCTACAAGGACAACCATATCTCTCACTCTGTCTACGTGACGTTTGCGGTCATTGCTAACACTGAGACTCGCAGCACCGTGCTTTGTGAGGTGCTAGCCACTCAAGGTTTAAAACTCTTGGTTTGGACTACAACCCCTTGGACACTGACCGCAAATATGGTACGAAGGGACCATACAATTTACTTCCAGATAATGAGACGATTGGTTATAGGGTATCGCTGTACATCCCGAGTTGACGTACTCTCTGGTAAAAACACAGAGTAGTCACGAACTGACAGTTGTAGCCAAAGATCGCATCTTGGCGTTGCAAGATATTGTCGGTCCTCTGGAAAGCATAGCCGAACTTCCTGGTCAGATCATCGTGTTTCCTTCGACCGTTTTTACGCTGTCTAACCCCTACCTTCAGGTGCCGATTTAGTAGATCTGACCTACGCACCGTTATTTTCCTCTATCTACGACGCGGAAGCTCTGCCTCCCTTACGGATCATTCCTGCCAACCATGTCACGTCTGAATCCGGTACGGGCCTTGTCCATTGCGCCCCCGCCCACGGTGCAGAGGATTACCTTGCATTCCGCAGCCTTGGTCTTCTTCAGGGGACCACGACAGACATGCTGTGCCATGTCGACGGGAACGGGTACTTCGCAGACTCTGTCGCCAGCATCGTCGGCCACGATGTCGCGAAGTCGCTGGTCGGGCAGGATGTCCTGAAAGGCGGGAGCAAGGCTATCGTACAGCTGTTAGGACAGGCTGGGAGCCTCGTCAAAATGCAGAAGATCAAACACCGATATCCATATGATTGGAAAACCAACGAACCGATCATCGTCACGTAGGTCCTTTGCGCCTGATCATTTCAGGATGTATAATGGCTGATATGGTCTACTTGATTGATCTATAGAGCAACCTCGCAGTGGTTTGCGAACCTTGATAATATCAAGGATGACGCACTTGAGGCTCTGAAAGACGTCGAATTCTTCCCTGCAAACTGTGAGTGTCCCCGCACATAAGATGCGACCTCCCCATAACTTATTCCCCGTGCCAGCCCGTAACCGCCTCGAGTCCTTTGTCCGCTCGCGCTCCGAATGGTGCATATCCCGTCAACGTGTCTGGGGCGTCCCAATTCCTGCGCTGTACCACATCCCTACCGATCGCCCTGTTCTCGACTCTGAGTCCCTCACACACATTCTCCAAGTCCTCGAAAAACACGGTGTCGCACATTGGTGGGACGGCCCAGTGCAAGACTTCCTGCCACCGCGACTTCTCACCGAAAGCGCGGCAAGTGAGTGGCGGAAAGGGACGGACACGATGGATGTATGGTTTGACAGCGGGACGAGCTGGTCGATGCTGACGGCACCCGAAGGTGGGGATGATGCACACCAGGAAGCAAGGCGGTTTGTGGCGGATGTATGTCTTGAGGGATCGGATCAGCACCGCGGTTGGTTCCAGAGTCAGCTTCTGACTGCCGTTGGCTCTGCTCCTGAGGATAGTGCACCCTCGAGCCCGTATGGAACGCTGATCACGCACGGCATGGTCCTCGATGAAGCCGGTATCAAGATGAGCAAGTCCCTGGGGAACGTCGTGAGCCCAATGTCCGTCATCAACGGAGGCAAGGTATGTTCCGCATCGTCCATAATGCACCACATCTTTCTTTCGCGCGCGTTATATTAACGGGCTGTTCGTCATACTAGGATTTAAAGAAGGAGCCCGCGTATGGCGCAGACGTGCTTCGGCTGTGGGCAGCGACGGTCGAGTACTGGCGGGACATGTCCATCGGGCCTACAACGCTTGCGCAAAGTGCGCAATCCCTCAAGAAAATCCGTAATTCTGCAAGATTTATCCTAGGCAACATCGGGGAGCGCGCACAACTGCAACCTGTGCGGAAGGAGGACCTGGGTTTGGTGGGTCTGTTTATGTGTGTGTAAGATGGGCAATGGACGCTGAATGCTGTGGGCTTGTCAGGCTGAACGATATATCATGAATGAGCTCTACAAACTGGAAAACACTGCGCGCGAGGGATATGTCGCGTACAACTTCCCCAAGGGTACGTCGCTCCCACACTCCAGCCTCGCATCTCTGATCTATGTGAATGACTGTGACTGGTGACCGCTCCAGTGATGACTGTCCTGAGCAACTTCGCCAACCTCACGCTCTCGTCGCTTTATTTGGACATCACGAAGGATTGTCTCTACGCGGACAGCATTGAAAGCAAGGAGCGGAGAGTTGTCGTAGCCACCCTCGAGCGCGTGCGTGTTTTGCTTTTCCTTATCCTATCCCCGTCCCTTCCTCAACGCGGCACCGACCTCTTCCACGTCGCTCCACTCGCTCATAAACACACCATCTCTCACTTCCGGCGCTGACCCTTCTATTTTTTATAGGCACTGCATACAATGATCACCGTCATGGCACCTGTCCTTCCGCATCTCGCGGAGGAAATCCACAGCGTCTTGAACACAAAAGTGGAATCAAACGCTGACGCGTCTCCACTGTCATTTTTCACGAAACCCTGGGTACCATTGGTGTGTACTCTTTCCTTCTTATTTATGTACCTTTTGTCCTCTCTCATTTCCACCCACCTCGCTTGATTCTGATTATCTGGCCTTCACTACATCCACGGAAACCAGGAAGCTATGTGGCAAGATGTACAAGCAGAACAGGACATGGCGGATTTACTCCGCGTGCGCGCCGTAGTGCTGTCACTGCTTGAAAAAGCCCGCAAAGACAAGTGCGTGATGATGTTCTGTGCTGTTCCTGGTCTGGTTTGATTTATCCTACCCTGTACCCACCTAGGAACCTCAAAAGCTCATTGGAAGCGGAGGTAGACCTGAGCCTGGGTTTAGTTTCCTCGGATACCATCGACGCCAATACTGCGGTCGACAAGAGCGCTGACGCGCAACTGCCCGCACTAGTGAAGCTCCTGGAACGCGAAGGTGCGTGTTGATGTCGATGATGTCGTATCGGTGCCGATCCCTCTTTTCACTGCCTTTTACGGCCTCTGTATGCAGAGGGATTCTTGAAGACGCTCTTCTTGGTATCGGATGTGCGCGTGGATTCCCTCACTTTCAACGCAGCACTCTCGACTGCGTCTCCCTCAAATCCCACCACAGATTGGACCTATACAAGCGAGCTCCCCCTGCCAGGTAAGGTCCACCCCCTTTGCTCCTGGCTAATGTCGTGAATATTTACTGTTATATCTTATGACACCGTCCGCACAGACTCAGATCTCGCGCATACACAACACTCAAGCCTGCCTCACACGAATGTGCCTCGGTGCACGCTTTACGTCCGTGTCCGTCCGGCTGCGCGGGAGAAGTGTCCACGCTGTTGGACGTATACCCGCGAAGCGGAAGCAGATTTGTGTTCACGATGCGAAGGCGTTGTGCGCGGGTCGTGAGGAAGTATGAGGTGTTGGTGAGAAGGCCGAGGTGATGATGCTTGGGGCAGCAGTGGGAGTTGGCGATGATATCGGTGATGGGGATAACGATCACGATGAGACAAAGAGCTAATCCGCCAACAAGCAAACACCAAGAAATATTTTAGATTAAAAGTCAACGCAGTTGGATTCCAAACTAATAGCACATCCATAGAATGACAAAACTATCCTGGATCCATCCTCCAGAGAATCTTGGTATCGGTCATGTGTTGCTTAAACGGGGCAAATGTGGGCTTTCTGTGCTCCCTCCGTTGTGAGACTAAAGTACCAGCGGGACTGGGAGTGGAAACGGTGAGTGCCTTGAATTGATTGGCGTTGTTACTGTGCGCGTAAAGACATAAGAATTTAATCTTTGGATTCTGTTCTCCAAGTAGTAGGTGTCCAGGTGCCCCCGT